AGATTGGTTCCAGAAGGTAGAAAGCATGGCACTGGTGATTGATCAGACACGTGATTGAGGGAGACAGAGGTATCAGACATAGCAACCAGACTTTAAGCAGCTATAAATGAGTTGATTGTTATTAGTGAGATAATAATAGCTATTAATTATGTACTACTGCTCTGTGCCAGGTAATATTCTAATCACCCTCCATATTCATTGACTCCTCAGGAAAACTTAGAAGATATGAGCTGTTATTCTCTGTGTTTTATGGAGACTTAGAGAAATTAAGGTCTTATCTATGGTCACAGAGCTATTAAAATGGCAAAGATGCACTTTAGGAGACTGAGGTGAAGGGATTGCCTGAGTGCATGGGTTTGACAACAGCCTGGGCAACTTGGTGAGACCTTATCTCTACAGTCAATCAAAAAATTAGCTCAAGCCTATAATCCCAGCACTTTGAGAGGCTGAAGCAAGAGAATTGCCTGAGCTCATTTCTCGCGATTAGCCTGGGCAACTTGGCAAGACATCATCTCTACAATAAATAAAAAAAAAATTAGCCGGGCATGGTAGCATGTGCCCATAGTTCCAGCTATTTGGAAGGATGAAGTGGAAGGATTGCAGAGCCCAGCAGGTCAAGACTGCAGTGGCTGTGAGCGTGCCACTCCAGCCTGGGTGACAGAGTGAGACTCTGAATCAAAAAAAACCTAAAAAATAAATAATAATGATATCTTAGCATGACATCCTAAGGTCTTACAACATTTAAAATTTCAAAACAGATTGGTGGGTAGTAAGTACAAAGAATTAAAAAAACTGGGAGAAAAGTTAGGGGTTTGCAGGTTGATGGTATTGTTACAGAAGAAAAGAGAAAATGTTTCTCAAATTGAAGAAAGACTCAACTATAGTCAGTGATTTTAGGAATTCACTTAGAAAATATGACCCATAGAATGAGAGAATGGGCCAGGCTCGGTGGCTCAGCCTGTAATCCCAGTGCACTGGGAGGCCGAGGTGAGTGGATTGCCTGAGCCCGTGGGTTCGAGATCTGCCTGGGCAACTTGGCGAGAACTCATCTCTACAATAAATCAAAAATTAGCCAGGCGTGGTAGCGCATGCCTGTAATTCAGCTACTTGGAAGGCTGAGATGGAAGGATCACTGGAGCCCAGCAGGTCGAGGCTGCGGTGGCCTGGAGTGGCCACTGCACTCCAGTCTGGGCGACAGAGTGAGACTCCAACTCAAAAAAAAAAGAATGAGAAAATGTTTGCAAATTGACAAAGAGCTTGTAACTAAAATACATAAAGGACTCTTACACTCTTACAACTCACTAATACAAAGACAAATGGAAACCCAATTAAGACATTAGGTTCTGAATAAAATTTCCTCTTAAAAATATATATACAAATGACCAATAAGTACATGAAAAGGTGTTCAATATCATTAATCATTAGGGAAATCAAAATCAAAATGCAATGAGATACCACTACACACTCACTAGGGTTGCTATAATAAAAAAAGACTAAAAATTATTGGAGATGATGTAGAGAAATTGGAACCCTCATACCTACATTACTGGTAGTAACACAAGATGTTGCAGTCACTCTGGAAAACAGAATGGCAGTTCCTCAAGAAAAGTAGATAAAATGTTACCATAAGACCCAGCAATTCCACTCCTAACTATATACCAAAAGAGTTGAAAACATGTCCAAAGAAAAACTTGCTTATAAACCGAGCTTGGTGGCTCAGCCTGTAATCCCGTGCTTTGGGAGGCTGAGGTGAGTGCATTGCCTAAGCCAGCGGGTTCGAGACCCGCCTGGGCAATTTGGCGAGACCTCATCTCTACAATAAATCAAAAAAATTAGCCAGGCGTGGTAGTGCGTGCCTGTAGTTCCAGCTACTTGGAAGGCTGAGGCGGAAGGATCGCCAGAGCCCAGCAGGTCGAGGCTGCGGTGGCCGGGAGTGGCCACTGCACTCCAGTCTGGTCAACAGAGTGAGACTCCAGCTCAAAACAAACAAACAAACCAACAAAACCGAAAAACTTACTTATAGATGTTTATAGTAGCATTATTCATAGTAGCCAAAAAAGTAGAAACAACCTAAATGTCCATCAATTACTGAGTGGATAAAAACGTGGTATATTCTTATAATATAATATATATTATATAGATGAAACTTGAAAACATTATGCAGAATAAAAGAAGCCAGTCACAAAAGACCATATCTTATATGACTTCATTTATATTAATATCCAGAACAGGCAAATCTATGAAGACAGAAAATAGTTTAGGGATTGCCTAGGCCTGGACCTGAATAAAACGTGTCTAATTTGAGACACATTTCCTCTTGTTTTCTGTGACGATAACATCACATCTCCTAACTTATCTTTGAATATATTCTGTCATTGAATATGATGATGGTTGCACATATTTATACAGTAAAAAATATATACTTCAGTTCATTAGGATGCCAGAAATGTGCAGTTCAAGGCTAAGAAAAATGATCATGTAGAAGGCGATTTATTGTGTACAATAATAAATTGCCTCTAAAACCATCCCTAGAATTGAATGCCAGTATGTTCCAAGGAGATATGTGCAAAGTCTGTCCCAACTCACCTGGCCTCTTTCTTCCCTGGAAAGGCCCAGAGAATATTAACTGTGGCATGAAGATATGAATTAGTGGTTGGGACTGACAGTGAGACATTTAGCCAATGAAATTATCTAAGTCACTATAATGTGATCCTAGATTAGTCAAAATGAGGTGACAGTACTTAATCGCCAAAGACAACTTGTAGAAATTATCATAACTGGCTATAGAACCAGAGTGACACTAGGAATGTTTTGACCCACAAGGATCTACAACATAGGTTAACAGAACATGAGGTACCTAGGAATGAAATAGGTGGTCAGCTTACTAAAATGTTGCTAGAACTACATAACTGGGAAAAAAATCTTAGTATGGTGTATCACTTATCCACTGCAGTATAACTAACCACTCCAAAACCTAGTGGTTTAAAACAACCATTTTTTCACAATTCTGTGAATTAACTAGGCTGTTCTATTGGTCTTCATGTGTCTTGGGTCATCTGGTGGCTCAACTAATGCTGTCATCTAGAATCACTTAGTGTCGGGCAGTTGGCAGGCTGACAGTTTGCGTGCTTTAGTTCTCTGTACAGCCTTTCTAGAAAACTAGCTCAGATTCACACATGTTGTGGGTCACACGATTCAAAACACAGAACTCAATGAAAAAGTAATTTTCAAATTTCCACTTACTCATATTTGCTAACTTCTTATTGACCCAAGTAAGTCACATGACCAGGCCCCAATTCAAGTCTAAATTTATAGTGATGTTCTATACACATATATAAATTTTAGAAAACATTAGCAAGGTCAGGAGCTGTGGTTTATGCCAGTAATCCTAGCACTTTGGGAGGCTGAAGCAAGAGGATTACTTGAGCCCACAAGTTCAAGACCAGCCTGGGCAACATAGCAAGACCTGGTCTCTTAAAAAAAAAAAAAAGACCCGGATGTGGTCACGCACAGGCAGTCTCAGCTGCTCAGGACGCTGAAGCAGGAAGATCACCTGAGCCCAGCAGATCAAGGCTGTAGTGACCCATGATCGTGCCACTGCACTCCACACTAGGTGACAGAGTGAGACCCTGATTCAAAAAAAAAAAAAAAATACAAATATTAGCATATAAGTGTTACTTAAAGCCTTGGAATTAAATGAGGCCAACATAGGAGATAGAAGAGTTCCAGAAACTAAACTCTAGGAGATTAGTTTTAAAAAGTCAGATATATTCGGACAAACCAACAAAAGAACACCAAAAAAAGAGCAATCAGGAAGGTAGAGAAAATTTCAGAAAAAAGGTGTTCTGGCCATATGAAGTAAGGAGGAAGAGGGTAATCAATTATCAGGCCAAGTAAAATGGGAATTCAGAATCATGATTGGAAGCAGCAAAGTAAAAGTGACTTGGATATTGATAAAAACAGTTTTAGACATAGATGATAAGATAGATGTAGATTAGATATAGATATGAGAGAGAGAGATTTATTACAAGGAATTGATTCATCCAATTATGGAGGCTAAGAAGTCCCATTATTGCTGTCTGTAAGCTGGAGACCCCAAAAAAGACAGTGGGTTAATTTAGTCCAAGCTGAAGACTCTAGAACCAGGGAAGCTGATAGTATGCATCTTGGTCTGAAGGCCAGGGAAGATGAGATGAGATGTCTCTGCTCAAGCAGGTTAGCAGGAAGTAAAAGCGGGGCAAAGTCCTGCTCCTTTCACCTTTTGTTCTGTTCAGGCTCTCAACGGATTAAATGATGTCCACCCATCAAATCTAATTTCTCAAGAGACATATATAAAACATAAAGAAAGTGAAATGGGCCGGGCTCAGTGGCTCAGCCTGTAATCCCAGCACTTTAGGAGGCCGAAGCAAGTAGATTGCTTGAGCCCATGGGTTTGAGACCAGCCCAGGCAACTTGGCAAGACCTCACCTCTACAATAAATAAGAAATTAACTGGGCATGGTAGTGCGCACCTGTAGTTCCAGCTACTTGAAAGGCTGAGGCGGAAGGATTGCCAGTGCCCAGAGGTTGACACTGGGTGACCGTGAGCATGCCACTGCATCCCAGCCTGGGCAACAGAGTGAGACTCCAACTCAAAAATACAAAAATAAATACATAAATAGAAAGTGAAATGGGAGAAGGGGGGACATTACTGAAAACAGTCATTCGCCTCAGCTATGTTCATCAGTCTGAAGGCAAGTCATAAATGTGAACCCCAACATTTTAGGACAGGAAACAAAGGGGAGCTATTTCCTTATTCCTGCTAACCATATCTTTCAAGTCTTCTTCCTGATTTATCACATCGCATGGACAAATACACTTGACCACACCTCCTGATATTGCTCAATATTTGCTTGAGTGAAAGAGGCTGAGGTAATCTGAAGCAGGAACTCTCATTGCCTTCTGCTCATCACCCAATAAATAGCCAGCTAATCCTCAACATTCTAGTACTCTGTTGGGAAGATGAGGCTATCACAGTACCTGCCCTTAGCGGGGCTCTTTTTGTTTTCTCTTATTCCAAGCCAACTATGCAAGATCTGTGGTGAGTACACTTTGAGCTAAAGTTAATCTAGTGTGATAGTCCACTGAACAGGTTGTTGACAAGGGTTTCTGTGTAGAGTTACCTAAGAAAAGATTCTGTTCTGGTTCAATATGGTTGGACTCCATGAGTGATGGAAAGAGTGGCAGATGGGATGGTGAGGAAAGTCCCACAATGCATGTTGTTTAAAGGCAGGGATGTCCAACCTTTTGGGGTCTCTGGGCCACACTGAGTAAAGAGGAATTGTCTTGGGCCACACATAAACTGTATAATATAGTTAGTGTATATATGTAATGTCTTCTTTTTTTATATATATTTTTATTACAAAGTTTGGAAAAATGAGAACAATATATAACTAGTGGGGAATTTGATCTTGTTTTTGTAAAACTACTTTATCCAATGTCTGGTTCAATGGAAGTGGTCACAATTCTCAGTGAGTTCTCAAGGTGCTCATCAGAAATGTTTGTTTGAATTTTGCTCTCTGAGTGCTTCATAACTGAAAACAGCTGCTCACAAATGTATGTTCTGCCAAAAAGCAATGTCACCAATAAGGTGTGACTGTGAATGTCAAAAATGGAATCACTCATGAGGTCACAAAGAAAATAAATGCTAAAAACACACGATGTTAAAAGATTTTGTGGGGCCGCATTACTAGCTGTCCTGGGCCACAGGCAGCCCATGGGCCACAGTTTGGACATGTCTCTTTAATGGGGAATCACAGATTCTGTGTTAACTTCCCTAACTGCTGTTTCTATGCTCTCTCTGTCATAGCATCCCTACCAAGTAACTGTCTAGTCTTGTTGATTTCCAATAACAGAAAAGTTATGTTTCCAAAAGCTTTTCAAGATCATAGAAAGTTATCTTTTGGTTTTGACATGTAATCTATTTTTTTTTTTTTTGAGTTCAACCCAAGATTTTTGAATTAACTACATGGAAAAATAATAATAATACCTTTAAAATAATGAAGACTGCTCTTGTTGTTACTGAGTTTAGATGTTCCAAGCTATATATTTCTCTCCCCTCAACTCTTCCTCATGAAATATGTGTGAAAGTCCCATCACCACTCCTCCGGGTGTTATTTCCAGACACTGTGTGGTTCTTTTAAAGGATAATAAAGTAAGAGAAAAGAAGCTGGGTTTAGATCCAGTCTGATTTCTTTCTTTCTTTTTTTTTTGAGTTGGAGTCTCACTCTGTCACCCAGACTGGAGTACAGTGGCCACTCCTGGCCACTGCAGCCTCGACCTGCTGGGCTCTGGAGATTCTTCCGCCTCAGCCTTCCAAGTAGTTGGAACTACAGGCACGCGCTACCACGCCTGGCTAGATTTTGATTTATCGTAGAGATGAGGTCTCATCAAGTTGCCCAGGCGGGTCTCGAACCCGCAGGCTCAGGCAATCCACTCACCTCAGCCTCCCAAAGTGCTGGGATTACAGGCTGAGCCACCGAGCCCGGCCCAGTCTGATTTCATAGTTGTTAAATGACCCAATGTTTGTTAAATTATTTAACTTCTTTCATAAATGGAGGATAATGAGGGGTGATTATTGAAGCAGATGAATTGAAATCTGGTGTAGCTCTCAGGTGTGTAATTTATTTTCTATGAGACTGTACTCTGGAACTGAGCTTCAAACTAGTCCAAAGATGAGGAGGTGATGCCATCTGTGGTTACATCTGCCTGGTGCTCTATAGCCAATAAGTAGAGCTCAACACCACAGAAGACAGACTTGTATTCATGCAGGCTAAAGCATAGACTCTGCCAACTCTAATTTTTCTTCCTGGCCTGACATTTCTCCTATTGGATCCTAAGAATAGGGGATCTCTCCGGAGGCTTTGAAGTTCAATTCATTGCACAAAATAATTAAATTAATCTTTAGCATTAAACTGATTGGAGTTGTTTACCAGGAACTAAGAAGTCTATTTCAGGGCCAGAAACTCTGCTGAACTGGATGCTTCCACAAACTCTCAGAGAGATGATTCCCAATTGTCCCATTGTGTCGGAAACAAACCATGACTTTTCTACAATCACTCCATTCAGATCTTCTTGACTCTTTCTTTTAAAGTGAGGAACAGTGAGCAAAGGAAATCACATTTCCTAGATTCTCAAGAATAGCAATAAAAAAACTCCAGTTGAATCCAGCATCTTACAGTTTATTCAGTGGTTTCTTATCCAATATCTGAAGATAGCTGTTAATATTCACAAATTTTAAATGAGGAAACTGAGGGTCAGAAAAGTTCATAACTTATCCACAATCATAATTAAGGAGCACAGAGCGTAACCGAGGTCTGACTAAATCCAAAACTCATGTTCTTCTCACTCTCCTACCAACCCATGAGTTAATCAGAAGATGGGTAGAATTTTTGGCTGCTTCTCAAGATTATAGACAAAGTATATTGAGAAATTGCCCTATGCTTTATGTGGTAACTAACTCTTCCCTCTCTACTCTAGCTCTTTGGTGGATTCTTGGATTCTCCTTTTACTTATAATGTGGCTCCCTTGCATCCCTGGAATTTGGGCATGGTTTTTTTTTTGTTGTTGTTGTTGTTTGTTTTTGTTTTTGTTTTGAGTTGGAGTCTCACTCTGTTGCCCAGACTGGAGTGCAGTGACCGCTCCCGGCCACCACAGCCTTGACCTGCTGGGCTCCGGCGATCCTTCCGCCTCAGCCTTCCAAGTAGCTGGAACTACAGGCGTGTGCTACCATGCCCGGCTAGTTTTTTATTTACTGTAGAGATGAGGTCTTGCCAAGTTGCCCAGGCGGGTCTCGAACCCGCGGGCTCAGGCAATCCACTCACCTCAGCCTCCCAAAGGCGCAGGATTACAGGCTGAGACACTGAGCCCGGCTTGGGCATGTTATAGGCTAAAATTGGAGGGTTTTCAAAAGGCTGCATAATGCTAAATAATTATCTTGATACCTGGACAGTTGGACAATCAGACAATGAAATGTTGGGGTCAGTCACTAATATAACATGGAATTTTTGCTTGCATTTTTTTAGTGTTAACCAAATTGATTTAGAAAAAGATGAAGGGCAACCCTCTTTCAGGTCCCCTCCCACTTGAGAGCCTTTTTGTACTCTTAATAAACTCCTGTTTTATAGAAAGAAAGAAAGAAAGAGAGGGAGAGGGAGAGAAAGAAAGAAAGAGAGAGAGAAGGAAGGAAGGACGGAAAAGAAAGAAAGGAGGAAGGAAGGAAGAAAGGAAGGAAGGAAAAGAAGGAAAGGAAGGAAGAAAGGAAGGAAGGAAGGAAGGAAGGAAGGAAGGAAGGAAGGAAGAAAGAAATGGAGAAGGCAATAATTGAATCCAGGGAAGAGAAAGCCCTGTGGAAAGGGAGTCATGCAATGCATATGCCAATTTCAGCTAAGTCTCCAATTACAAAGATTTCTTTTAGGACACTCTCTCTAGGCTTCATAAACAAAATTAGGGAAAATTTTTTTAAACATATTTTTTATTTTAAAATTGTGGGGTACAGTTAAGGGTTAGGTATACAAATATGCAACGTTCAGGCACCCTTGTTGATAAGGGGTGTCCCCCCATCCCCAAACAGATACTGACTGTCATCAATCCCACTTCCCTTCCCCTCCCTGCCCCCTCCCATAGTTTCCCACCACTGTCAATCCTTTTCTCATAGTATTACGATAGATGTTCAAGGTCCACTTATGAGTGAGAACATGTGATACTCAGATCTTTGCTTCTGTGAGAGATCACTCAGTATTATAAACTCTAGTTCCATCCAGGTTACTGCGAAGTTCATGATTTTGTTCTTTTTTATGGCTGTGTAGTATTCCATTGTGTATATGTACCACATTTTTTTAATACAGTCCTCTTTTGATGGGCAGCATGGTTGGTTCCAGGTTCTTGATACGTGAACAATACTACGATAAACATACGTGTGCAGGTATCTTTTTTATAGAGTGATTTGAGTTCTTCAGGGTATATTCCTAGTAAGGGTATTGCGGGGTCATACAGAATGACGCTATATCTCCCAGGTAGGATTGGTATTCTGCCAGTACACAATGGTAAGACTGCACCAGGTGTTAAAATATTGAAACATTTTCACATTGGTTGTTAAAGGAGTAACGCTTGGCATGGAGGGTATCAGACCCACCTTTGTATTATGCTGCCTGCCGCCAGCACAGTCAGTGGCCACTGAATTGGTCTAGACCTGCGCCATACTTGTTGCTGAATATTTTAATGTAACCCCTGTTCCAAGTCTTAATATCACCTGCATGTATGTTTTTTTATTTCCTTCCTCCTCTGACACAGAGGTAAGTGAAAAAGACTACTTTCATCTAAACCCTCTGCTGAGCACAATGAGCCATTCAAAATATACCAGGGGAACTGCAGCTGCCAATGTCCTGTTGTCCCTCAGATTTGTTGGTTTCCAGAACCAAACTCTGAAGCAGCAGCTGGTCCAACAAGTCAAATACAGTGTGGAAAGGCAAGGTGAGTGCCTGCATTCTCGGAAAGATTTAGGAAAATATTGCCTATCTAAAGATTATCTCCTGCTAATCTTAAAAATATCTATTACATCTATCCTAGCTATATAAAAACTTGAGGTGACAGAAAGATGTATATCAGTCCCCTTTCACCCACTCAACAGCTCAGTCTTGCTTCTTTGGGTCCTAAAAACACTTTTCTTCAAGAGGCCACAGGAAAAGCAATGGACTCTTACTCAGTGATACTGTCATATAAGATAGCTGAGTTCACAGTGACATAGGAATATGAACCACAATTAAGAAAGCTGATGATAGAGACGCGAACATGGAACAATCAAAATGTGGACTCTGTTTGAGTCCAGTGTCAGCCTTGAACCAGTCATGTCAGTACTGAGCCTTAGTTTTCTAATTAATATGAGGGATAAATGAGGCCACCTCTGCCTACCTCATAATGTTATTGTAAAAGTTTATGAGAGTTTTGCTACTCTGCAAGACAGAACATAACAATCAATTATTACTATCCTGGCAAGTTGGTACCAGAAAGAGAAAAAAAAAATCCAATGTCTTGTTATTTATCCATTTTTTTCCTTTTTAATTTTTGTAAGTATTGCATGATTCCAAAAATATTCCATGGTGTTATGGAAAAGACCAAGAACCAAGATAAAACTCACATCTATACAGCTACTGCTCTAAAAGGCTTTGCTTTGGGGATAAAGAAGAGAAGAATAAAATATTAGTTAAGTCATGAACCACATAATGATGAACTTCATATGTGATGGTGGCTATGTATGATTATAACACTGTGTTTTTTTGTTGTTGTTTTTGAGTTGGAGTCTTACTCCATCACCCAGGCTGGAGTGCAGTGACATGCTCACGGCCATCCCAGTGTTGACCTGCTGGGCTCCAGTGATCCTTCTGTCTCAGCCTTCCAAGTAGCCAGAACTACAGTCATGTGCTACCACACCTGGCTAATTTTTTGATCTATTGTAGAGATGAGGTCTCGCCAAGTTGCCCAGGCTGGTCTCGAACCCTCAGGCTCAGGTAATCCCCTCACCTCAGTCTCCCAAAGTGTTGGGATTACAGGATTGAGCCACTGCACCCGGTCATAACACTGTGTTTTTAATGTACCTTTTGTATATTTAAATATAAAAATACCATTGTGCTAGAGTTGCCTGCAGTATTCAGGACAGTAACATTCTATACCAGTTTTTAGCCTAAGAACAATAGGCTATCTCATGTATGTATGTAGGTAGGTATGTAGTAGGTTATACCATTCTGGTTTGTATAGGTACACTCTATGATGTTCACACAACAGTTAAATTGCCTAACCACCAACTTCTCAGAACTTATCCCTGTCATGAAGCAACACAAGTCTGTATAGAGCGGAACAGAGGAAAGAAGTGATGGACAATATAAGTCTTAAGGAAGACAGAAGGCTAGAAAAATCATAAGCAATGAACCTTGTTAAGCTTGAACAATTCTTTTCTTTTCTTTTTTTTTTTCCAGTGCCAAGTTTAAGCTCGGGACAGCTTGCCCTAATTATACTGGCTTTGGGAGCATGTCATACCCTTGACGAAAACTTTATATATGATCATCACCTGATTGGACAGCTAGAAAATAAATTCCGAGCAGAAATTGAACACATGGGTAAGAATCAAAGACCTAGACGGTTTTGTCTCCCTCTACTGATCCCGAACTGTGTGAAGTTTTTCTCCACCCAGTCTCTTTCCTCTTCATCCCACTATTTATTTGCAGGTCACTTCCCTTCTTCCTTCTTTCAGTTTGCATCTTGAATTTTCTTTTTAAATATGTTCAACTGATCATTGACCCCATGTCAAGTACTACTTTACTTATGATGACACACAGCGCAGTTCTCTACTCCTCCTGAAACATGGCTTTTAGACAAATAATGAGTACATAACTAACAGTACAGGATACTATCTGAAGTATCAAAGTATCCAGTGCTAGTCTAAGAGCCAAAGTACTCAGCCAATGCAAGTATATGGCCAAAGTACTTCATCACTGGGAAAAATAAATCGACGATGATGACCACTAGTGAGGTGCATTGTTTTTATTTTAACTTCCACCCAGTATTTATTCTATTATTCATTAAGTCCCTCCAATCTCATCCTCCTTTGAGATGGTCTCCAACCCAGGTTTCTATCTATAGTTTCAACACCTTACTGTCGAAAGTGCCAGAGCCTTAGAGGTGGGAAACCCGTTTTCTGGCCCTAGCTCTGTAACCACCTGAATATCTGGCTAGAATCTTAATTTCCTTAAGGGCTGGGTCCCCTCCACTATAAAATGAAGGGAGTTAAGTGGAATTTGGTGGCCCTTAAAAGCCCTTAAATGTATCAGGTTTGCAGGTTCTATGAGAATCAGGGAGATCTCTCCCTTCTATTACCCACCTCTTCTTGAATATAAAGAAATGGGAATAAAGTTAATAGAAGTATATTAAAAATGTATACTACAACTTAGAAAAGAGAGGGAGGAAGGGATGGAAGAATGAAAATCACCTAATGGGTAAAAGGTGCACAAGTGGGAGAGGTGGGCACACATAAAACCCAAACTTTGCTACTATACAACAATACTCTGTAGCCAAAAACTATGTGTACCCCCTAAGGCTATTGAAATGAAGGGAAAGGATAGAAAATTAACATTTTTAAAAAGTAACACTGGGCCGGACACGGTGGCTCAAGCCTATAATCCCTACACTTTGGGAAGCCGAGGCAAGAGGACGGCCTGAACTCAGGGGTTCAAGACCAGCCTGGGCAACTTGGTGAGACCTCATCTCTACAATTAAAAATAATAATAATAAGCCAGACATGGTAGCGTGCATCTGTAGTTCCAGCTAATTGGAAGGCTGAAACAAAAGGATCACCTGAGCCCAGCGGGTCGAGGCTGTGGTGGCCATGAGCTTGCCACTGCACTCCAACTTGGGCGACAGTGAGACTCTGACTCAAAAACAAAAAACAAAACAAAAAAGACAGCCAGACTTGGTGGCTCAGCCTGCAATCCCGCGCCTTGGGAGGCTGAGGTGAGTGGATTGCCTGAACCCGCGGGGTC